TCTCTGTGTGTAACTCTGACTTTCAAATAAATAAATAAATCTTTTTTAAAAAAAAAAAAGCATGAAAAGGATCCTGAAAACTACCCACGCTAGTTTTGCATCTGGTAAAATCATTCTTAAAACATTGAAAAGAGATTACATTACTCCTAGTTTCAGAGAACTCAATAGAAAGTCAACTAATTATCACAAATTATTTTATATTTACTTCAAAATTTGGGGGCCCTAATATCAAGAAATCCCTTTCTTTCCCTAATCCAAATAACTAATCCTAGAATTTTGTCCCATTTACTGAAGGTTTATTTCCATAAATTTGAAGCACTAAGGTTCATATGCATATATGTATTTTTTGAGTAAGAGGTTGCTTCAGAAAACAACCAATGAAAATCACAGATTTAATCATTCTTATCGAGGTATTACTTTTCATATTTTAGCTCAGATTGAAGAAAACAAAGCTAATACAAAACACAAGAACTACAATATAAAAACCATTGCTTATATCCTAGAAGTCAAAAACTAATTAGATCAAATGAATATCTATACAATTATTCTTCCTGATCGCTATGATAGCTTTCCATAGGTTTAACAACAAGATTGAAATTGCATAACTTTGATCTTGACATCATATAGAAGAAATAATTAATATAATAAATAAGGAAAGACAATGTATAAACCAGTTCTTTTTGAAAACCACAGAAGAGGGTGATCAATAATGAATAAAACCATGGGATGTAGCCAAGAAAACTGATGGAGAGAAGCCAACTCTTGTGCAGTGAAACGTTAGAAGCCTTGCAGAAGCAATTAGGGTTTATCATAGGAGGCTCCAATAAAGTCAAGTTAAAGCAGAAGCCTGAAATGTCCTTGTGATATTTAATGACTCTGTCAAAGGAAACCTACATATGCCTAATGCGAGAGACAGAGACAGAGATCGATCTTAGGCATCAAGGCTCACACAGCTTTCCTTACCAAGAAAAGTTAAAAAAAAAAAAAAAAAAAAACCTAGAAATCAAGGGCTCAGGACAACAGAAACCAGACATGCCTCCAGTTACTGAAAGGATAAGGGCTGTATGTGAATGCAAGCTCGTTCCTTCCTTTACTGTCACCCTAAAACACCAGAGACATAAGGGTGCTAATTTGGCTGTGCAAAGTACTGCTTGCCCAGGATAATACTGGAAGAAAAACAACAAGTTACAGATATTAGTACTAAACCCCAAATACCTGGAAACATTAACTTGAACTAAGGAGGTAAATGCAAAGTTTTCATATAAAAGGAATAAAAGCCTTTTCAAACAGTGAAAGAAAAAACATTTGAAGTATTTCTGTTCAGAAGCAACCACAAAGCAGAAAAAACATCAAAATCCTACACAAGTTCTTTTCACAGAATGGTACTAAATATATTGCTAAATCAAATGTAACTAAAAAGAAGAAAGCAAGTCCTTTATGAAAAAGAAATTTTTTAAGATGATTAAAAAAATAAATAGAATTTTAAAGATTAGAAAAGCTAACCATATTCCTAGGTAAATCCTGATTGAGGATGCTTCAAATCTGTATATACTTTAACAAACCCTTGGTGCTGCTATTGAGCAATTCTATTTTGATTGTCTTCTCTAATTGATGTATTCACTCTCACCATGAACAAATATTTATTGAGCATCTATATGCAAAGCATCTTGTTAGAACAAGAAGACAATAATGCGGAAACAGAATCAGAAATTGCGTGTGGAGCACTTATAAGCAGGGAAGAGACTCAAGTAAAATGATAATTATGAGTGTTCTTACCATTAAGATTTCACTATAGAGCACGTACTCATGTACTGCAGGAAGCAGGGCCTCTGAGAGTCCAGACATGCGTTTTTCAGTGGCCTTACAGCATTGGTCGATGCAGCTGGCCACACTTTTTAGAGTGTCAACCAAATCCTCTTCTGACGCTGACCACAGAACATGAATGGGGCCATATTCTTTCATTTCATCAAAATACTCTAAAACAAAATAATGGCTTAAGTCCTTCAATTTGGAAAGGTTTTCAGAATCCCAATGGCATGGACAGTAACAAATGACCTTGTTTCTCTCACTATGCACATATTCTTACATGTGAACCTAAGAAAATGAGATCATCTTTTATCCTAGTGATTGACCATTCCAGTCTGCCCAGATCAACCTTCAAATGAATGACTACTGTCAATAACAGCATCCCTTTTCTGTACTTGGAAGACAAATGATAACCATATCAGTCATGGACTTCTCTGCCTACCACATAATCATACCTGGGTGTCTCATAGGCAATATGCCCTAAACAAAACTTTGCTTCTTTATCCCTCTCTTCTTATTGCATATGTCACTATACAGAAATCCAAGAAAAACATTGGGGATGGGGTCATTCTAGACTAATAGTTGCACTCAGCCAATCAATCAAGTCTAATATTTCTAGATCTCTATTCATCGTCTATGGACTACTTGCCTACCTATTTTGACTTCTACTGCCATCAGCATCTCTAATTTGCACTACTTCTAACTAGTCTCAATCTTTCCATTTTTGTCACAATGTTTAAACACTGTAGCTTCTTATTAATTAGAAAGTCTTTTATGATCAGTCTTCTACCTGCCTCTCTAGGTCAAACTTATGAGATTCTCTGCTAAATATATTTTGACTTAAGCCAAAATAACTATTCATTCATGAATAACTCATGATTTTTCCTCACTCAAACATTTGCATGTATCCCTCTGACCCTGTAGCACTTCCATCACCCAACAATCCACTTCTAATCCTTTAGATATCAGTTCAAATAAACCTCCCCAATGTTGTTTCAAAAGATTCTTTTTTTAAAATATTTTATTTATTTATTTGAGAGGTACAGCCACAGAGAGTGAGAGGGAGAGACAGAGAAAAAGGTCTTCAATTCGTTGGTTCACTCCCCAAATGGTGTAATGGCCAGAGCTGGGCAGATCCAAAGTCAGGAGCCAGGAGCCTCTTCCAGATCTCCCACTTGGGTGCAGGGACTCAAGCGCTTGAGCCATCTTCCACTGCTTTCCCAGGCCACAGCAGAGAGCTGGATTGGAAAAGGAGCAGCCGGGGCTAGAACCAGCGCCCATATGGGATGCCAGTCCCATAGGTGGAAGATTAAGCCACTGTGCCACAGTGCCAGCCCCTCAAAAGATTCTTGGTCTTTACTCAGTGAGCCTATTGAACTTTACACCTTTATTAAAGCATTATCCCATTCTATAGTAATTGCTCGCAAAACTCACATACTCCTAGGCCATATGCTCCTTAAAACAAGGACTGAGTCTTATTATTTTTGTATCTCAAAGGTTGATATATAATGTATTGAATAAATATTTTCATATCAATGAAAGAATGAATGAATAAGTAACCAAAGTATTCAATGCTTGATAAGTCACGTACTCAAAAATTTGGAATTCATTTTAAAACGTGAATATTTTTACATTTTTACATTCACACTATCAACTTTTAGAGATATATAGCATTTCAGGGTAAAGAATTTATAAGCGGTGAGCAATTTTGTCCAATATCCATATATATCATTATCTATATTTAAACATCTTACTACTCACTAGAATTTGTGAAATCTGTCATATTGCTCTAAATTAAGTCATTAAAACTTTAAAAAGTTCTCAGCATGCTCAAACAGCTGAAAAGTTTTTTAAAATAAAATTTTAAAGCAATGGAAATGTTAGTTGTTACCTGATGAAATTTTAGGTTGAATGACCCTTCCTAATTCCTCCCTCCAGAGTCTAGGCCTTTTTCATGAAATAATGACCATATGAAACTAGTATTTTTTGAAAAAGAAAATTATTCATACTATCATGGATAGTTTGGGCAGATTTCATTGTGGTATTTATTTATTTTTACAAAACAGAGAATCCCTAAAATTCTAAACTAGGCTTAGAGACACTCAAATCACATTTGGATGAAAACATCTCATATGCTGTATGATAATTTTCTGTTAATGCATATCCTTCCCAACTAGACTATGAAGTTCAGGACAGGTTCCACCTTAACTCCTCATTTCATCTCCAGCACATGTGGACAGTGCAATTCTGCTGAAAGAAACCAGGAGACACAAAATAATGTAAAACCAAAGGAAAAATATAGACTATGAAAAAAGTCAGAAAATAAAACTAGCTATTTCATTAAATTCTTCACGATCTCTATCAATGAATCACCCTACATAGACTCCAAAAGCAACAAAATAAAGTGTCCCATTATTTTGAATGGAATTCTAATAAGCATACTTCACAACCTAAAGACCTATATTTATCAAGTTTGACTAGTGGCATTTATTTCTAGATAATGTGAGGTCAAATTTATGTCTATCAAAATATAGTTTTCTCTCTGAGCAATTCGCAAACATTAGTCTATCAATGATTTTAAAACTATTCCCTAGACAGATGTCATGACATCATGGATTAAGCTACTGCTTGGGAAATCTGTATCCTATACCGGATTGCCTAGGATCAGGTCCTGCTCTGCTTCCAATTCAGCTTTCTACTAACACACCTGGAAAGCAGCAGATGATGGTCCAGGTACTTGGGTTCCAGCCACCCACCTGGCTTTGGCTTGGTCCATATTTCAGTTATTCTGCCTTTTAAATAAGTAAGTAAATATATAAATAAATTTGAAAATTCTATTTTCTGGGAGGGTGTTTGGCACACAAATTAGGAAGTTCCTTGAGATGCCTGCATCTTGTACCACGGTGCCTTGGCTTAAGTCTCAGCTTGATTCCCAGTTTGAACTTCCTGCTAATGTGCACCCTTGGAGGCAGCAGATTATGACTCAAGCACTTGAGCCCTTGCCAAGCACAATGGGAAACTCAGACTGATTTCCCAGTTCCTGGCTTCCACCTAGCCTGTCCCTGCTATTGTGAATATTTGGGCAATGGACAAGCATGGTAATGGTCTCTCTCTCTCTGTCTTTCAAGAAAAGTCAATCAACCAATATTTACTTACAACAGCAAATATAACTCATTTTGATATCCTATACTATCTTTTTTTTTTAACTTTTTTTTTTATTTGACAGGTAGAGTTATAGACAGTGAGAGAGAGAGACAGAGAGAAAGGTCTTCCTTCCATTGGTTCACTCCCCAAATGGCCACTACGGCCAGAGCTACGCTGATCCGACACCAGGAGCCAGGAGCCAGGAGCCAAGCCTCTTCCTGGTCTCCCATGTGGGTGCAGAGGCCCAAGCAATTGGGCCATTCTCCCCTGTCCTCCTGGGCCACAGCAGAGAGCTGGACTCGAAGAGGAGCAACCGAGACTAGAACCCGGTGCCAATATGAGATGCCGGCACCGCAGGCGGAGGATTAACCTATTGCGCCGGCCCCATCCTATACTATCTTTAAGTGTTAAAAGCTTTCATGGGCTTCTTTAAATTGCTATCCCATATACACATTTAGAATCTACTTAACAACTGGAATTACAGAACCTAGTCAAAAGATTTAGCTCCTTGGAGCCAGCATTGTGTAGTAGGTTAAACCATCACCTGCGATGCTGGTAACCCACACAGGCACTGATTCAAGACCTGTCTTCCGCACTTCCGATCCACCTCCCTGCTAATGCACCTGGGAAATCAGAGGAAGATGGCCAAAGTGTGTGGCCACTGTTTCCCATGTGGGAGACCCAGAAGTTGTTCCTGGCTTCTGCCTGGCACAACCCTGGTCATTGCAGCCATTTGGTGAGTGAACCAGCACATGGAAGATTTATCTCTCTCTCTCTGTCTCTCCCTCTCTCTCTGTGACTCTGCCTCTCAAATAAATAAGAATACATCTTTTTAAAAATTTTTTTTAAAAGAATGAGTTTCTCAGGGTGAGCGCTGTGGCACAGTGGTTAAGCTGCCACTTGGAGGTCTGAATCCCACATCAGAGTACTTGGGCTTGAGTCCCAGCACTTTGTTTCCAATTCACGCACCTTCCTGCTAATGCACCTGGGAAGACAGTGAATGACATGTGAGTGACAGGGAAAGAGTTCCCAGCTCCTGGCTTCAGTCTGACCCAGCCCGAACTCTTGCAGGCATTTGAAGAGTGACCCAGCAGATAAGGATCTCTATCATTCTGCCTTTCAAATAAACAGATAAATAAAGCTTTCAAAAGAAGAATTAACTTCTTGTGATTTAAAAGAATGGTAAGTGTGAATGGAAAAGAAAATCAAGGCTGTTTAAACAAATTATTAAACTATAACTTGATACCATATTTATTTCATCAAGTGTCAAGTAAACAAAAAAGAAGAGAAAAGAAGGTCAAACTACATTCAGTTAAAACGATTTTTCATTTCTCATTTAATATACAATCAATTTTGCTAAAGCAAATTTTCCTGCCACCATTATGTTCATTCACTTATTTTTTCAATCATTGAATAAATTTTAATTAGCACCTATTATATGTTTGGCATCATCTGAATACCAGAAATAAAACAAATTTTCCACTTGCTTATTCCTGATGTTTAGTGGTAAACATGGACAATTAACAAATAAACCATCAATAGGAACTTGTGTTTTTAAGTAGATCTTTTCCAACATTAATTTATATTAGAAAATATATTTGCTTACTTAGTAACATATATATTTTTTGCAAGATTTGTTTATTTATTTATTTGGAAGGTAGAGCAACAAAGGAAGACAGGGAGAGAGAGAGAGAAAGATCCTCCATCCACTGGTTCACTCTCCAGATGGCTACCAGGTCTGGGCCAGGCTGAGAACAGGAGACAGAAACTCCATCTGGGTCTCCCACGTGAGATAAGTGGCATGAACCCAAGACTTGGGCTGTTTTCTGCTGCCTCTCAGGGTACATTAGCAGTAAGCTGGATCAGAAGTAGAGCAGGGGTTCCCACTGTGGTCGAGCAAGTTAAGCCACTGCCTGAGACCTGGAATCCCTTACAGGCACTGGTTTGATACCTGGATGCTCCACTTCTGATCCAGCTCCCTGCCAAAGCACCTGGGAAAGCAGCAAATGATGGTCCAAGTGCTTTGGCCTCTGCTACCTGGAAGAAGCTCCTGGCTCCTGTCCTGGCTCCTGGCTTCAGATTGGCCTAGATCCAGCCATTGCAGCCATTTGGGGATGAACCAGTAGACGGAAGATCTCTGTGTCTGTGTCTCTGTCTCTGTGTAACTCTGACCTTCAAATACATAAATTAATTTTAAAAAAAAGAGTAGAGCAACCAGGACTTTAACCAGCACACCAATATGGTATGATGGTATGCCAGTGTTGCAAAAGGTGGCTTTATCTGCTTCACCACAAGGCCAGACCTACTTTATAATTTTAATGCAATTTAAAAGGTAAATGCAATTACAAAGTCAAAAAAGAAATAATGAAATTAGAGAAAAACCATCATAGTATGAGTTCTAATTTATAAACTAAATATATATGTATATATATATACACACACACATATATATATATATATATAAACTAAAAAAGAAAAGGAAATGATGACAGAGAACAGAAAAAGACACATATTTTTCAATATACAAATCTCTCTGTCATGGTTGGCCAGACATAATACAGAGTTTTAGCCTCCATTAAAAAAAAGTTACTACCTTTTTTTTTTTTTTTATTTTTTGACAGGCAGAGTGGACAGTGAGAGAGAGAGACAGAGAGAAAGGTCTTCCTTTGCCGTTGGTTCACCCTCCAATGGCCGCCGCGGTTGGTGCGCTGCGGCCGGCGCACCGTGCTGATCCGATGGCAGGAGCCAGGAGCCAGGTGCTTTTCCTGGTCTCCCATGGGGTGCAGGGCCCAAGCACCTGGGCCATCCTCCACTGCACTCCCTGGCCACAGCAGAGAGCTGGCCTGGAAGAGGGGCAACCGGGACAGAATCCGGCGCTCCAACCGGGACTAGAAACCGGTGTGCCGGCGCCGCTAGGCGGAGGATTAGCCTAGTGAGCCACGGCGCCGGCCAAAAAAAAAGTTACTACCTTTTAAAACATCATTTCTTTGATTTTAAGGCACGATCCATGTTGAATATTTTACACCAACTTCATACAACTACATCCAAAATACTAAGTTTAGAACTTACTTCCTTTACCATTATCTATGGGAACTTCACCATTATCTAATGGGAACTGCAATGGTTAACGGTGAATAAAAGCTGTTGGGAATTGGCCTGGACTACGCTCAAAATCATTTAGGAATCAGGAATTTTCACAACACGTCTGAGTATAAACCATGTCTTTGAGGTAAAAATCTAACTGGATAGTGCCAGACCACATTAGCCAACGTGAAGATCCAGGAGAACCTGGACGACTTTGAGATCCATTCCAGTGATTCCACATACCCCTTTCTTCCTTGTAAATTCTTTGAGATATTTTATCTACTAAGTTTATTTTCTGGCTAAACGTTTCAATGAAGTTATTCATTTCCATGAACTCCTCGGGGCGGTTTCTAACTCCTCTCATGGAGGACGCCACTGCTCTGACCGTCTGCCCCATCCTGCTGAGCAATCCAGGCCCTTGCTTCTTGTGAGAAGACAGTTCCTAGAAATAAAAACAGAAATACTTGTGGTGAAGCAAGCAACAATATCTGAAGACTCCATTTAGAAAAAAATAAACCTAACTAGCAGAATAAGATGAACAGCAGGAAACTTTCATGTCCATCATTTTTAAGTCTTGGTTTGAAGCAGATGAGTCTTATGTGGGAAAAGTCTCTTTTCTGCACCTCGGGTCCCTGGATATGATTACTCCCTTTCAAAGTACTCCTGTAAAACAGCTCTACAGTGTTTCCTCCAAGCATGAATCTTTAGATGAACAGAATTTCACAGGGGGTACAATGTTCACGAAATACTAGAGAAGACAAGGGTGAAATGATAGTACATCTATATTTTATGGCAGAAATTTAATGGGAAAATGATTGAGGGAAGATTTCTCAAGGCCCCATAACTTCCTTAAAAAAATTTGGAAAACATCATTAATTCACTAGGTTGAATAACAGCTAACATTTATTGAGAGTTTAACATGTGGTAGGCACAATACTCATATTTACATATACAGAATTTGCAATAAACCTTAGAGGTAAGTTCTATTATAACCCTCCTTTTACAAAAGAAAATGGTGGCACAGGACAGTTAGGTAACTTGCTGAAGATCCAAGAGCAATTACGTGGCAGGGCAGCAGTGGCCATCCTGGGAGGCTGAGTCCACGATTCACAGTTAAGCACTAATTGGTTTTGCCTCCAAAGCAAAAGAGAAAGATTTTTAATAAGATACACAATTACTTATTTCTTAATTAACCTAGGAGGGACATCTACAGATTTAATTGCAAATATTGATCTCTACTCCAGTAATCTTGCTGAATTCTCTCATTAGTTTGTATTTGTTTTTTGGATTATGTTTGTCATCCACATATATGGACAGTTTGTATGCAAAAGCTGAACCTTTACCAAAAAAGAAAGAAAAGCAAAGAAAAGGAAAGGGAAGGAGGAAAGGAAGGGAAAGGAGGGGAGGGGAAGGGAGGGGAGGGAAAGGGTTTGGACTTTGAAGCTGCATTTCCTGGGTTCAAATCTTGGCTCTGCCCTAGCAGTGTAACCTTGGACAAATGACTATTTTCCTCATCTGTGAACCACAGATAATACATCATGTGATGTTTAATGCTATATGATAAGTTAATGTTAATAAAAGGTATAGACCATAGTCTACACAGAAAAAAAAAAAAAAACCTTCAATCTGAGCACTGAATGCTGATTACTAGAGGCTGGGAAAGGTGGGAGGGATAAAAGGACTTTGGGTTTAGAAAACCAGGGTATGTTGCATATATGGTGACAAAGGGGTTAATAGGGGATGTGGGATGAGGGGTTTATATAGGAACTCATTGTAGCACTGCCTCATAATTTTTGTTTTGTAAATTTAAAATTGATAATAAAAAAGACATGAAATTGACACATGACTGGCAAAACTGTGGATAATTACCAAATTGAATGGTGATATGTGAGGGTTAATAACATTATCCTTCTGTGTTTGTTGGTGCTTGAAATTTTGTATAATAAAAGTTCAACAATTTTAAAAAATCAACGTAAGAGAAAGGCTATATTGGGATACACTATACTAAAGTATCCCTTCAGAAGTATGGCATACTAAAAAGGAACAACAAAAAAAGAGGACAAGGGATTCTGATAGTGTTGTAGCAACTGCTGAAACTGTTGCAAGCAAATAAAAGTTGGTAGCACACATGAAAAAATCCACAAACAATAGTGTGGATTCCCTAACTCACAATTAAAAATATTATTTTTTACTATTCACCCAAATACTGAGGAATATATTATCTCTCTGCCTCCAGGGTTTCCTTCCTAAAGGTCTTACAGAAAATAATAGAAATAAGGTAAACTTGTTAGGATGATTTTTGTATGCAAATAACAGAAGCCATTCTTGACCAAACAAAACAGCAACCAGAAGGGCTACAGTGTCATTTGACAGAGTAAACATTACTAGAGGAAGCACAAATCACAACTGGCAGGCTGTTACTGCAACTGTTGACTGCTGAGAATGTTTCTAACAGCTTCTGAGGTTCTGAAGTCAATCCACAAATTTATTTCACTAAAGTCACAAGAGGCTTACAACAGTAGTACCACCTGTCAAGACTGTGATGAGCCACTTTCTAGCTTCTACCACCTTGGCAGCAACTGAGAGATATCAAACTCAACACTGGCCAGTAATGTAAGGTTTCTGTGTTAGAAACTAGATGCACTCACCCCACCCCCGCTGTCACCCCTACCCCCAACCTGCCCTGGGAAACTGAAAGAAAATGAGATTGTACCTTCAGTCTATCAATTCATCCATCATCTATCCAATTAACAAAGACTTTCACCTTAACTGGTAAAGTCTTGACTCATACTCAGAATAGTATCAGATAAGAATCATATTCATATATGTTCACTATTGGCTATGTATGTGGAGAGCATGCTGACATTGAAATATAAAAATCAGCACCCAAGGAAACATATGCATGAAAGGAAGATTAAGATTTCTATAATATTTGCATGTAGATTTGAGCATGGGGAATATTTAAAGGATATCTCTCCAGTATTAAAAAAATTTTTCTCTATTCAAGGATACTATCACCTGATTTGCAAAAGCAAACAAGAAGCACACAATGTACTATACATATGGATGTTAAAGGATTATATGAATATAAATAAAAATTGTTTACCCATGCTTGTGCAGTGAGAAAAACTTTGAAGTCCTCATTAAATGTTAAAGTTGGGTGATCAGCAATTCGGTTCAAAAATTTATGTAAGGCTTTCCTTCGTGTCTCAATGAAGTCATCATTAAAGCGCTCCACCATTCCTTTCACTATAAACTTTTCAGGTAATGGCTAAGGAAAATAAAAAGTATCTGATATGATTCATGATGTGGCACAGGATTCTAATGAATTCTACACTTTAGCTTTTTGGAACACAAGTTGAAAATCTGAATAATTGTAATAAAAATAATTTTTAAAAATTCACAATGCTAGAATCCAAAATACAAATGCTAATGTTATTAAATGATTCATTTATTTATTTACTTGAAAATCAGAGTTACAGAGAAAGAGGGAAAGAGAGAGTGGGGTCTTCCATCCACTGGTTCACTCCCCAGATAGTCGCAAAGGCAGGAGCAGGCTGAAGCCAGAAGCCAGGAGCGTCTTCCAGGTCTCCCACATGGGACACAGGGGCCCACGCACTTGGGCCATCTTCCATTGTTTTTTCCAGGCCATTAGTGGGGAACTGGATCAGAAACAGAGCAACCGGGACATGAATTGGCACCCATATGGGATGCCGGCATCACAAGCGGTGGCTTCACCTACTATACTACAATGCCAGACCCCAGATCTTAATTTTTCACAATTTAAAAAAAAAAAAAAAAGTCTGGACATAAAGTTGAAAGTTTAGAAATAAAATTTTCCTAAGATAAGTGAATTACAATGAACTTAATGGTGTGAAATTATGTGTTAGGCATCCCAAAAGACTCTCAAGAAGAAACAGTAGCCCTTCTATGAAAAAATCTTGCATACTTACTGGAATAATGAGAGTGGGGTGTGCTTCTTCAAGTTTTCCCTTTAACCAAAGGAAATCTTGATAACGTCTCCTAACTTCAAATTCACTGGAGTCAAATTCCCCACGAGACGTCTTAAGATCATCGCAGAAAATAACAGCACATGCAATATAAGACAGTAGACATTTGCCTAAAGTTATTTTAGACATTCTGAAATAAGAAAAATTAACAAATCTTAATTATTCAGTGTTTGTCAGCGTGATTTTTTTCTTTAAGTTATCTATTCATGTAGCAGATGAAACAAAGCAAACTTTCCGGTATTTCCAGAAAGCAAGCAAACATCATGATTAAATTTAAAATCCAAACTGAAAAATCTGTCTTACAACAACCATCTGCCTTCCACAAAATTTTAACTACTATTATCTTTGGCATGACTTTCTCGCTAACAAGAAACTGTTCTGAATTTAGGTTTCAAGTACATTTCTTGTCTCAAGATGATCAGAATTCAGAATTTGAGGAAAGTTCTATTTTTATAATTTGGAAAACAACCTGAATAAAACTGAGAAAAATGTTTTCTTGGAATATGCTCAAATGAATTACTTTGCTAAAATTTGCTTTTGGTATATGAAAATGAAAATTCTAACATTTTACTGTGATTTTACCACTGTTTAAAAATGTAATTAATGAATATTTGATGTTAAAAGAAAATCTTCCCGTCATTTCAAGACATTTTATTTTGAGTTAGATGCCTAAACTACTAAAAATTAAGCAAATACATTAAAATATCTGTTCTCAACAAACCAAAACTCTATGCCAGCGCATATGACAAGAACATTGGTACAATATCAACTTCACTTCCACAAGAATTCTGAATCCAAAGCCAACAACAAAATATGAGTTGTCTAATACATATTCATTTCCCATATGAAAATGGTCATTCACACCAATCCTTACTTCACCGAATTTCTACATGTTAAAAATTACATACAGTAATATTTAGGTTGAGATTTTCCTGGAGGTGTAAGGATAGAATACCACACATTCACCAGAAATATCAATCACCCACACACAGACATGAACACAATTGTAAAATTCAGCAGCACATAAGATTCAGTCTTAACTGTCATAAATAACACTGGGAAGCTATACTTTTCAAAAGGCATTCTTTTAAAAATGAATGTTCAGAACATCAGACAATATGTCTCAGTGAAACATTCTCTTTCTTGTGGGAAAAAGTGGGGGTAAATGAGAAAAAGAGTTCTAAGAAACTAAATGTTCACAAAACACTACAAAATCTTAACTACTAT